TCCAACCCCATTCTGCCAAGAAGCAGGAATATTGCATTCAAATCACCCCTGACAGATGGCCATCCAGCCTCTGTTTAAAAGCTTCCCAAGAAGGAGCCTCCACCACACTCTGGGTCAGAGAGTTCCACTGCTGAACGGCTCTCCCAGTCAGGAAGTTCTTTCTCATGTTCAGATGGAATCTATTTTCCTATAGTTTGAAGCCATTGTTCCACGTCCCAGGCTAGCAGAACACAAGCTGGTTTCCTCCTCCCTATGACTTCGACTCACATATTTATACCTGGCCATCATGTCTCACTTTCAGAGACATGCAGCTAAGGAGGAAAAGGAATTAAGTCCAAAACACCTGGAGGGCCCAAGTTTGTCTGGTCTGGACACTATTCTCTTATGGATGCAGCCTCCGCAATGTAGAGCACAACATCCACATTTTCTTGCCTCAAGAGCTCCTCGTCACCGTACTCTGAAAACTTTAGCCGGCTGCCTTATATTCACTCCGCTCCCATTCTTCCCTCGTCTTGTTCAAAAACTTGGGGAGATATGAGGAGGAGGATGTGGCAAGCGGGCTGGGAAGGCATCTGAATCCAGAGCCAAAATGCCACCGGCCGTGCCTGTTTGCTGATTCACCGGCCCTCCTTGGAGCCCCTCCATCCGTTCCCCTTGTCTGGAGCCGTCACAGCCAAAGCAGGATGACTGCTCTCCTCGCTCCCTGGCCTGCCAGCTCTGAGTCACTCGGCTTGGTTCGGCTGAGATCTCACCTTCCTTCCTTAGGAAGGAAGCAGCAAAGGCGGGGAGTTTGGAAGGGGGGGGGGGAAATGGGCTTGGCTGGGTGTTTATTAGGGATGTAATATCGATGTACAAAATGTTTCAAAATTCATTACACACTGCCGAACATTAGGGGGCGCATTTAGTTTCTCTAGTGCAGGGGTCCTGTTCAACATCTTCATTAATGACTTAGATGAAGGGTTAGACGGCAGGATCATCAAGTTTGCAGACGACACCAAATTGGGAGGGAGAGCCAAGACTCCAGAGGACAGGAGCAGGATTCAAAACTATCTTGACAGATTAGAGTGATGGGCCAAAACTAACAAAATGAAGTTCAACAGGGACAAATGCAAGATACTCCACTTTGGCAGGAAAAACAAAATGCAAAGATACAGAATGGGGGACAATGCCTGGCTCGAGAGCAGTATGTGTGAAAAAGATCTTGGAGTCCTCGTGGACAACAAGTTAAACATGAGCCAACAATGTGATGTGGCGGCAAAAAAAGCCAATGGGATTTTGGCCTGCATCAATAGGAGCATAGTGTCTAGATCTAGGGAAGTAATGCTACTGGTTAGACCACACCTGGAATATTGTGTCCATTCTGGGCACCACAATTCAAGAGAGATATTGACAAGCTGGAATGTGTCCAGAGGAGGGCAACTAAAATGATCAAGGGTCTGGAGAACAAGCCCTATGAGGAGCGGCTTAAGGAGCTGGGCATGTTTAGCCTGAAGAAGAGAAGGCTGAGAGGAGATATGATAGCCATGTATAAATATGTGAGAGGAAGCCACAGGGAGGAGGAGCAAGCTTGTTTTCTGCTTCCCTGGAGACTAGGACGCAATGGAACAATGGCTTCAAACTCCAAGAGAGGAGATTCCATCTGAACACGAGGAAGAACTTCCTGACTGTGAGAGCCGTTCAGCAGTGGAACTCTCTGCCCCGGAGTGTGGTGGAGGCTCCTTCTTTGGAAGCTTTTAAACAGAGGCTGGATGGCCATCTGCAGTGGTGATTTGAATGCAATATTCCTGCTTCTTGGCAGGGGGTTGGACTGGATGGCCCATGAGGTCTCTTCCAACTCTTTGATTCTATGATTCTAGGGGTCCTCAAACTACAGCCCGTGGGCCACATGCGGCCCACCAAGAACATTTATCCGGCCCACCGGGTGTGGAGAAGGGCGAGTCCCTGACCTCTCCAAGATGTGCTGGGTGTTGTAGCTCAGTCTGAGCCTGAGCTTTCTGAGCCTGAGCTTCCATAGGACAAGGAGGATGATGGGTTATGGATTTCTGAACGTGTTCCGGTTATTGAGGCAGGTAGTGTTGATTCTGAAGAAGAGACGGCATTTCTGTTCCCCAGAGAAAGGAGTGTGGCTTTAGACAAAGATAGTGAAAGATGGAGGCTCCTTCTGAAAGCTCAAGGCCTCTTGGTTCCCAGGGTGACCAGGCCCAGCAGGGCCAGGATAATGAGCTATCCACTGCTTGAATATCAAGCAAAAAAAGTGGGTGCTGGAAATAATACTGTATGAAAGCTGACTGGCACAACCTGGGGATCACAACCAGACACAGTGAAGACATCTGCCCTTGCACTTTGCTACTCTGCTATTTATTTGTTGTGTCAGGCCAACCAGTCAATTATATTACATTTCTAACAGAACAAAGCAAACAAACAGACAAAATACAAAATTTGTGAGTTTGGTAGTTGATTAAATGTCCTTTGACCAGTATCTGGCCACTTGGAGTGCTTCCAGTGTTGCTGCAAAAAGGTCCTCCATTGTGCATGTGGCAGGGCTCAGGTTTCATTGCAGGAGGTGGTCAGTGGTTTGCTCCTCTCCACACTCACATGTCGAGGATTCCACTTTGTGGCCCCATTTCTGAAGGTTGGCTCTGCATCTCATGGTGCCACAGAGCAGTCTGTTCAGCGCCTTCCAAGTCGCCCAGTTTTCTGTGTGCCCAGAGGAGAGTCTCTCATTTGGTATCAGCCATTGGTTGAGGTTCTGGGTTTGAGCCTGCCACTTTTGGACTCTTGCTTGCTGAGGTGTTCCAGCGAGTGTCTCTGTAGATCTTAGAAAACTATTTCTAGATTTAAGTCATTGACCTGCTGGCTGATACCCAAACAGGGGATGAGCTGGAGATGTCTCTGCCTCGGTCCTTCCACTATTGGCTGCTACTTCCCGGCGGATGCCAGGTGGTGCAATACCAGCTAAGCAGTGTAATTTCTCCAGTGGTGTAGGGCGCAGACACCCCGTGATAATGCGACATGTCTCATTAAGGGCCACATCCACTGTTTTAGTGTGGTGAGATGTGTTCCACACTGGGCATGCATACTCAGCAGCAGAGTAGCACAGCGCAAGGGCAGATGTCTTCACTGTATCTGGTTATGATCCCCAGGTTGTGCCAGTCAACTTTCGTATGCTACTCTGCTGCTGAGTACGCATTCATTGCTGGCTGCTACTTCCCGGCAGATGTCAGGTGGTATGATTCCACCTAAATAGTATAATTTCTCCAGTGGCATGGGACATAGACATCCTGTGATAATGTGGCATGTATCATTAAGAGCAACATCCACTGTTTTTGCATGGTGAGATATTTTCCACATTGGCAGGGCCAAGGCATTGACATACCTGGCCCATCCTCTGTGCGGATATCAGCCAGCAAGCCAAGACCTTAAGCCAAGAAACAGGTTCCTATGATCTACAGAGATAGTTGCAGGAACACCTCAGCAAGCGAGAGTCCAAAAGTAGCAGGTTAAAATCTAGCACCTCACTCAATGACTGGGGCCAGATGAGAGACTCCCTCCTGGACATACAGAAGACTGGGTGACTTGGAAGACTCTGAACAGGCTGTATTCTAGCACTATGAGATGCAGAGCCAACCTTAAGGAATGGGGCTACAAAGTGGAATCCACAACATGTGAGTGTGGAGAAGAACAAACCACAGACCACCTATTACAATGTGGTCTGAGCCCTGCTACATGCAGGGCTCAGACCACAGAGGCACTCTGAGAGGCCAGCTTCTGTTCAAAGGATATTTAGCATAATTCCAAGTTCCTTTTTTAAACTTCGTGTTTTTAAATGCATTTTAACTGTACCCTCAACTCGCTACTGACAGGATAAATAAATAAGCTAAGAAGGGATCCCTCCTCACATTAACCAGAGGAACCATAGAGTGTGGGGTACACTCACTATTAGGCATGGGCAATTCATGGCCTAAAGTACTTACAAAACGAGGGGGTAATGGTGCTTTAATTCTAAAGTGTTTCTAAAGTTCTGGTGGTGAAAATTTCAGAAACCTAACAAAACTTTCAAATTTTCATTAGAAATGGCAGTTCCTAATTGGGTCCGTCATAAAAGTCGCCAATAACGAAATCTTAATGAAATTTTGAAAGTTTTGTTTGAGTTCTGAAATTATTACTACCAGAACTTTAGCAACACTTTAGAAGCAAAGCGCCAGCTTTAGCAATACTTTAGAAGCAAAGCACCAGCTTTAGCAACACTTTAAAAGCAAAGCACCAACTTTAGCAAAACGTTAGAAGCAAAGCACCAATTTTAGCAACACTTTAGAAGCAAAACACCAGCTTTAGCAACCCTTTAGAAGCAAAGCACCAACTTTAGCAAGACTTTAGAAGCAAAGCACCAACTTTAGCAAGACTTTAGAAGCAAAGCACCAACTTTAGCAAGACTTTAGAAGCAAAGCACCAACTTTAGCAAGACTTTAGAAGCAAAGCACCAGCTTTAGCAACACTTTAGAAGAAAAGCACCAGCTTTAGCAACACTTTAGAAACAAAGCACCAGCTTTAGCAACACTTTAGAAGCAAAGCACCAACTTTAGCAAGATTTTAGAAGCAAAGCACCAATGTTGGCAACACTTTAGAAGCAAAGCACCAGCTTTAGAAATACTTTAGAAGCAAAGCACCAGCTTTAGCAACACTTTAGAAGTTCTAAAGTTTTACTTTAGAAGTTCTAAAGTTTTACTAAAGTTGGTGCTTTGCTTCTAAAGTGTTGCTAAAGTTGGTGCTTTGCTTCTAAAGTGTTGCTAAAGCTGGTGCTTTGCTTCCAAAGTCCTTACTAGTCATGAGATCTTCCAGGGGAAATTATAGCCACTGGGCAATCCATGGTTCTAAAGTACTTACAAAACTAGAGGGCACTGGTGCTTTGCTTCTAAAGTGTTGCTAAAGTTGGTGCTTTGCTTCTAAAGTATTGCTAAAGTGGGCCCAAGGACACCCGCCAGCATCTCTCCGTTGCCCACCTTTGTCCAGTTTCTTGTGCTTCTCGAGAAAGCTGAACCAGTCCTTGCTGGTGGCGATTTTGTCGTGGGTCTCGCTCGGGATGTCCTCCTTGCAGGCTGTCTTCAGCTGGTCCAGGTCTTCGTTGGTGATGTTCTCTGCAAGTTCCTCCAGCAGGCTGCTGTACTCGGCCATCTCTGCCAGTGGGAGGAAAGAATAGGAGACGGTCAGAGACGACAGATGGTTACGGATCATAGAATAATCACAGAAGTTGGAGGAGACCACACAGGCCATCTAGTCCAACCCCCTGCCAGGCAGGAAAAGGACCGGGCTGTGGCGCAGCTTGTTAGTAGCCAGCTACATTAAAACACAACTGAAAGAGATCATGAGTTCGAAGCCAACCAAGGCTGGAGTAAGCTCCCGGCCATTAATAGTCTAGCTTGCTGTCGACCGATGCAGCCCAAAAGTTACATCTATAAAGTAAGAAATATAGGTACCGCTTTATGTGGGGAGGCTCATTAAACTAATTTACGTTGCCATAAAACCTTCCAGCAGCGTGCAGAAGAATGAGGAAGAACTCCACCAAAGGACTCGGCGTCACAAGTGGATGGTGAAGCGGCAGCTCCCCCTGTGGCCAGAACCGAGCATACCCTCATGAAGCCGGAAAAGCTGGAATGTTAAATTGCCTCTATGTCTGTCTATATATTTTGTAAGTCTAAATAGCATTGAATTTTTGCCATTAGTATGTGCATTGCAGTCCGCTGCAGGGTGAGAAGGGCGGAATATAAATACTGTAAAGAAATAAATGCACAATCAAAGCACCCCCAACAGATGGCCATCCAGTTTCTGTTTCAAAGCCTCCAAGGAAGGAGCTTCCACCACATTACAAGGCAGAGTGTTCCAACGTTGAACCAGTAAGTTCTTCCTAATGTTCAGGTGGAATCTCCTTTCCTGTCATTTGACCCTATTGTTGTTCTTTATGACGGCTTTTCAAATATTTAATGGCAATCATGTCTCCTCGCAACCTTCTCTTCTACATGACTCTTAACCAAGCCCTGACCAAGTTCGTAGAATCCTAGGGTGCTTCCAGACAGCACCAAATTGTGGGCTTTAGTCAGGGGCAAAAATAAAATCAGGACCTAAGAGATTTGGTAAAGATTTTCCCCTGACATTAATGTTCTTTGCTTGCAGGTGAACTATAAATCCCAACGATTAAAATGTCAAGGTCTATTTCCCCCAAACTCCACCAGTGTTCACATTTGGGCATATTGAGTATTCATGCCAAGTTTGGTCTAGATCCATCATTCTTTGAGTCCACAGTGCTCTGTAAATGTAGGTGAACTACAACTCCAAAACTCAAGATCAATGCCAACCAAACCCTCCCAGTATTTTCTGTTGGTCATGGGAGTTCTGTGTAATGAGTTAGGTTCAATTCCATCATTGGTGGAGATCAGAATACTTTTTGATTGCAGGTGAACAATAAATCCCAGCCACTACGACTCCCAAATGACAAGGTCTATTTTCCCCAAACTCCACCAGTATGCAAATTTGGGCATATTGGGGATTTGTGCCAAATTATAGATCCTGCAGATCAGACATTATGATTCATAACAGTCGCAAAATGACAGTTCTGAAGTAGCAACGAAAACAATGTTATGGTTGGGGGTCACCACAACATGAGGAACTGTATTAAGGGGTCATGGCATTAGGAAGGTTGAGAACCCCTGCCCTATAGCGACACCCCTGATCCTCCCATTTTTTTCCTTCTTGTCTCTTTGCTCCATGTCTCTTAATTCTGCCCAAATCCCGTAATTAATTATCCAGGGATTTGGAAAATTTGACAGCTGGATTTCCAGACAGTGTTTGCCAGATTATGTCCAATGCTTTCAATCTGTCGACCTCAATTCTCATTCTGAAACACATACAAACAAATATAGATATGGAAGCTCTTGTTTGAGATGTCTTTCTGTTGTACTTGGATGCAAAGAGGGTTTCTTTCGTGTCAGGAGCAACTTGAGAAACTGCAAGTCGCTTCTGGTGTGAGAGAATTGGCCATTTGCAAGGATGTTGCCCAGGGGATGCCTGGATGTTTTGATGTTTTACCATCCTTGTGCCCCTCCATGGGGAGCTAGAGCTGACAGAGGGAGCTCATCCGAGCTCTCCCCAGATTCGAACCTGTGACCTATGGGTATTCAGTCCTGCCGGTATAAGGGTTTAACCCATTGCGCCACCGCTCCTTTTGGCATCTTAGCAAACTCTTCCATGGTGCACAAAGAGTTTACTTTTTGTTATTTTGTTATTTGTTTTTATTTTATTTTAATTTTTTTAACTTTAATTTTTTTTTAAAAAAATAATTTTTTAATTTTTTTTAATTTTTTAATTTTTAAAAAAATATTCTTAATTTTTAATTTTTTAAAAGGTTTTACTTTTTGTAACCTTTTGTTGGAAACTCCTTTGCCTTAGCTTGACAGTTTGGACAAAGGGAAGAGATTTGGAGCAGACTAAGGGAGCGACCCGGTTAAACTGCTGAGCTGCTGAACTTGCTAACCGAAAGGTCGCAGGTTTGAATCCGGAGAGTGGGGTGAGCTCCCGCTGTTAGCCCCAGCTTCTGCTAACCTAGCAGTTCGAAAACATGCAAATATGAGCAGATCAATAGGTATTGCTTCGGCGGTAAGGTAGTGGCGGACCAGAAGGTCGGTGGTTCAAATTCGGGGAGCTGGGTGAGCTCCTGCTGTTAGCCCCAGTTTCTGCCAACCTAGCAGTTCGAAAACATGCAAATATGAACAGATCAATAGGTATCGCTCCGGCGGTAAGGTAGTGGCTGACCGGAAGGATGGTGGTTCAAATCCGGGGAGGAGGGTGAGCTCCTGTTGTTAGCCCCAGTTTCTGTCAAACTAGCACTTTGAAAACATGCAAATGTGAGTAGATCATTAGGTATTGCTCTGGTGGGAAAGTAAGGACAAATTCTATCAGTGGGGTTCAGAATGCTCTTTGATTGTAGGTGAACTATAAATCCCAGCAACTACAACTCCTAAATGTCAAGGTCTATTCTCGGCAAACTTTACCAGTGTTCAAATTTGGGCATATTGAGTATTCATGCCAAGTTTGGTCCAGGTCTATCATAGTTTGAGTCCACAGGGCTCCCTGGATGTAGGTGAACTACAACTCCAAAACTCAAGGTCAATGCCCACCAAACCCTTCCAGTATTTCCTGTTGGTCATTGGAGAACTGTGTGCCAAGTTTGGTTCAATTCCATCGTTGGTGGGGTTTGGAATGCTCTTTGATTGTAGGTGAACTATAAACCCCAGCAACTACAACTCCCAGTTGTCAAGGTCTATTTTCCCCAAACTCTACCAGTGTTCAAATTTGGGCATATTGAGTATCTGGCCAAGTTTGGTCCAGATCCATCATTATGTGCTCTCTGGATGTAGGTGAACTATAACTCCAAAACTCAAGGTCAATGTCCACCAAAACCTTCTAGTATTTTCAAGGTCTATTTCCCCCAAACACACATATGGGCATATTGAGGACTCATGCCAAGTTGCTCCATGCAGTCATGCTGGCCACATGACCTTGGAGGTGTCTATGGACAACGCCGGCTCTTCGGCTTAGAAAGGGAGATGAGCACCAACTCCTAGAGTCGGGCATGACTGGACTTAATGTCAGGGGAAAAACTGGAAGAGACCCCAAAGGCCATCCAGTCCAAAACTTCTGCCAGACAGGAACATAACCAAAGCCCTCCCGACAGATAACCTTCCAGCTTCTGTTTACTTCCATACTCGAGAGTGCTACTTTATATTCCTCTTCCCTTTTTCGATGTGAACCCAATAAGTAGCCAGGAATGCCAGCTTGGAGCCCACCTGCCTGTCCCTCTCTCTCATTTGGAGCCCACTCCTCCTTTCCCCTTCTCCCTTATTCATGTCTTTCACTCCTTTTCTTTCGTTGCATTCAACACACTAGCCACCCCTCTGGGCAACGTGCCCGTTTCCCAGGCCCACTGGGTGGTACAACGAAGAATAGAGGAAAGGAGGAGGACAACAGAGGCGGGAAAGAGGGGGTGAAGCAGGCTTAGCCAAGGTTGCCATCTTACCAGCAAACAAACTGGTGCAGACAGATCCCAGGCTTGCCAAAAAACCAGCAGCTGAAACCTTGCAACCACTGAAATAAAAGGAATCCCTTGGCCATGTTTTGGAGGTCAAGCTGCTCTTTCAGAACATAGGAAAGGGGGCCAGTAAAAAAAGAAATATTAGTTCTTTTGGCAACCTCTGTCTGTTTTCTGAAGCTTTGGTGATAATAGGAACACAGGGTTGCTGTGAGTTTTTTGGACTGTCTGTCCATGTTATAGAAGCACTCTCTCCTGATGTTTCTCCCACATCTATGGCAGGCGTCTTCAGAGGTTGTGAGGTCTGCTGGAAACTAGGGAAATTAGGTTTATATACCTGTGTAATAATGTCCATGGTGGGAGAAAGAACTCTTGTCTGTGAATGTTGCAATTGGCCATCTTGATTGGCATTGAATGGTCTGGCACCTTCAAAGCCTGGCTGCTTCCTGCCTGGGGAAAATCCAGGAATCCAGGCTCCACAGTCACCTATGGACCCACTGCCAGTACATTGATCTTGGAAGACTATCCTACTTGGACAATGAGGGATTGCCTAAGTAGACATAGTGGAGTAGGGAGAATCCTTTGTTGGGAGGTGTTAGCTGGCTCGGATTGTTTCCTATCTGAAATTCCCATTTTTTGAGTGCTGCTCTTTATTTACTGTCCTGATTTTAGAGTTCAAGACCAGCTAAGACATCCCAACAAAGTATTCCCCCAGGCAGGAAGGAGCCAGGCTTTGAAGCTGCAAGGCTATTCCATGCTATTCAAGGTGGCCAATGGCAACATTCACACTTGCAACCAACAGACAAAGAGTTCTTTCCCCACTCGAGATGTTATTCCACAGATATAGAAACCCCACTTGCCTAGTTTCTAATCCTGGGCATTCTTCCACAGGAATATGGGTGGATGGATGGATGGATGGATGGATAGATGGATGGATGGATGGATGGATGGATGGATGGATGGATGGATGGATAGATAGATAGATAGATAGATAGATAGATAGATAGATAGATAGATAGATAGATAGATAGATAAAAATGTAAACATAACTCAAAAACCACTGGACGAATTGACACCAAATTTGGACACAATACA